GGGCAAACTCATAAATTGTTCACCCTCTATAACACTGATAGAGAGATATGCACAGTTGTTTGCTCCCCCAGGTATTAATACATACTCTGAGTAAATTACTAAATAAAAAGTGATTTTATTAAATACAGACAGTAGGATTTAAGTGGTTCCAAGTAGTAACAGACAGAACAAAGTAAGTCACCAAGCAAAATAAAATAAAATGCGCAAATCTATGTCTAATCAAACTAAATACAGATAATCTCACCCTCAGAGATGCTTCAGTAAGTTTTTTTCTCAGACTGGACACCTTCCAGGCCTGGGCACAATTCTTTCCCCTGGTACAGCTCTTGTTCCAGCTCAGGTGGTAGCTAGGGGATTCTTCATGATGGCTCCTCTCTCCCCTTTGTTCTGTTCCACCCCTTTATATATCTTTTGCATAAGGCGGGAACCCTTTGTCCCTCTGGGTTTCCACCCCCCCTCACTGGAAAAGCACCAGGTTAAAGATGGATTCCAGTTCAGGTGACATGATCACATGTCACTGCAAGACTTCATTACTCACTTGCCAGCACACACATATACAGGAAGACTCACAGGTAAATACAGCCATCTGCAGACAATGGTCCTTGTTAATGGGAGTCATCAAGATTTCAAACCATCGTTAATGGCCCACACTTTACATAATTACAATAGGCCCTCAGAGTTATATTTTATATTTCTAGTTTTAGATACAAGAGTGGTACATTTATACAAATAGGATGATCACACTCAGTAGATGATGAGCTTTGTAATGATACCTTACAAGAGACCTTTTGCACGAAGTATATCCCAGTTACGTTATATTCACTTATTACCGTATTTTCTCTAAAACTATCCCAGTTACATTATATTGACTTATTATCAAGTTTTTATAAAACCATATAGACTGCACAACGTCACACATACATCTTGCAATGATTATGAGTATTGATAAGTTACAAGATTTCAGTACAGACCTCACATGCTACATTTTATGGATAAATACCATGAAAACGGAATATTAGATGTAGTGGGTTTGTCAGACCTGAGATGTAAGTTGCTTGTAAAGAACAGTGAATCCTTTGCCAACTGGCACCATGGGCCTCTGTATCACACCTTGGCATGATGCTATTTCAGAAAATCAGATGCAGTTTAATGTGGGATTGAAAACGGCACTGTACAATCAAGGCCAACTGAAGGATCGTTTCAAAACCACAATGAAGTGCCCACAGGCAATTTTAGATCTAAAGACAAGTCTGGTCTGTCCTAGCGGGTCACCAAGCAACTGCTGAGTTGTTGCAGATCCCCTATAAGCCCATGTACGTTCACCAAAGAAAAGATAACAAATCGGAGCTTTATCTAGTAAGTTGGAGATAGAATCAGCCTGCTTAGGCATCTCTGTAACATTCTCCTTTCTAGCTAATCTCCTTTTCAACACATAGACTTATGACCTTCCAACAACTACAGCTGATAAGTACATATACGTGGATAGCATCTGTCTTGCTGATGTGGGTGATGATCTACATCAGGGGTCGGCAACCTTTCAGAAGTTTTGCGTGCTAGTAATACATTTAAGGTTTTTAGAAGGTCTCTTTCTATAAGTCTATAATATATAACTAAACTATTGTTGTATGTAAAGTAAATAAGGTTTTAAAATGTTTAAGAAGCTTCATTTAAAATTAAATTAAAATGCAGAGCCCCCCGGACCAGTGGCCAGGACCCGGGCAGTGTAAGTGCCACTGAAAATCAGCTCACGTGCCGCCTTTGGCACGCATGCCATAGGTTGCCTACCCCTGATCTACATACTATTGAAGGGTCACCCAGTCAAGACATGAATGCTCTGTCCTCTTACCTTTGTCAGTGGAGACTTAAGTTAAGAGAGTCTCAGATAGTTGCCACAACCTTCTATCTAAACAATTGTCTGGCCAATCCACCGCTTACAGTCTGCACTGAGGATTGTCCACTCCCTTTCCAGCCATTTCTCACTTACTTAGGAGTCAAACTTGGCCACAGTCTAGCATACCAGTCCCATCTAGAACACAAAGAAAATGACCACCTCCCACACTGCCTTGATCCAGATGCTAGCAGGAACCTCCTGGGGAGCTGAGGCAAATGCTTTACAAACCTCAGTCCTGATGCCCCAGTGGGATATCACGCAGCAGTTAGGAGCAGAAATCGGCACACACATCTAGTTGATTCAAAGTCGAACACAGCCACCCTTATCATTAGTAGTCGCCTTATTACCCCTCATTACCATCTAATTTAGAAGTGTTGGCTCATATCATTCCCCCAAAACTTCAATGAGATGCCATCCTATGGCAGATTAAAACAACTTGCTACACCCAAGGCTCACAATGGGTCCAATAGATTCAAACAAGCAGCGGACACGTCCTCCAAGAAGCTCTGCTTGTCGCCAGAAGAAAATACCTACACCTGCACTTCCTGCTGACTTGCTATGACTGACTTTGTGACATCCTTTTGCAGCAGCCATTCATGCCCTCATGTCCAGGACTGCTGGCCCAGCACCAATCTTAGGTGAATAACAGCATAACAAGGCCAACAGCTATGTCCTGGTAGCAATTCTGGGATAGAGAGACTGACATGCTAATGAATTTCAGAAGCCCTGGCTAACTTACATCCACCTGTTTGCAACCTGGGATGCAGATCCTGGATGTGGGTTAGTAGGCTGCCGATTGGAACAGCCAGAGCAGCTGCCATAATGAAGACATTTTGCTTAGTTCCATCTTCACAGTGTGACTGCAGGGCAGCAATGCAAATGGTCAAACATGTGGCGGAGGTGTGCTCAATTAGATGATTAGAGGGTGGAAGGCAATACCTTGCTACCCTCAATGATGCAGCAGTTAGATGGCTGAACAATCTAGATATTGTGATGTGTACGAAAGAAGAAGCTTAAGGATGCCAAAGAGGAACTAACAAGCCAGTGTGGGCATGGACATTCATTCCCAGTGGCACCTTGCTTTTACATGTGCAAACAGGATTAGATGTGTTTCCAGAGAACTGTAACAAAACTACAGTATAACCGTTTATTTCGAATGTTCCCTCTCTGACATATTAGCTAGTTGATTATATTTATCATCAGTATAGCCTAGTAATTCTAATTAAAACCCAAACCAAACAATAGCTGGAAATATGTACTACACTCTGTAGTGCAACACTGCAGTACAGGACTTTAAAGGGTCACCTGGGGAATGTCTGCACAGTGCAATAAAACGCCCATGGCTCGCCCATGTCCGCTGAATCAGGCTCGCAGGGCTCGGGCGAAGGGGCTATAAAACTGCAGTGTAGACATTCAGGCTTGACATACCCTTGGGAAAAAAGGTCAGTTATACGATGTTGGTTATTATTAACCTAGGGGAGGGATAGCTTAGTGGTTTGAGCATTGGCCTGCTAAACCCAGGGTTGTGAGTTCAGTCCTTGAGGGGGCCACTTAGGGATCTGGGGCAAAAATCAGTACTTGGTCCTGCTAGTGAAGGCAGGGGGCTGAACTCAATGACCTTCAGGGTCCCTTCCAGCTCTATGAGATATGTCTGTCTGTCTATATATATATATATAACCCATCTTTTCCTACTCCAGATCATTTAACACCAGGGGCCATATTCATCACTGGTGTAATTTCATTGGTAAGGTGTATGTGAGGGGAATCAGCTATTACACCTGGGTCTTCCCAACCCCATTCATTGTTTTTCCTGCTACACTCCTCTTCTGTCCCCTGGTATGTAAGTTACATTTTTGTCGCAGTATCAGAGGGGTAGCCGTGTTAGTCTGAATCTGTAAAAAGCAACAGAGGGTCCTGTGGCACCTTTAAGACTAACAGAAGTATTGAAGCATAAGCTTTCGTGGGTGAATGTCCACTTCATCAGACGTCTGATGAAGTGGGCATTCACCCACGAAAGCTTATCCTCCAATACTTCTGTTAGTCTTAAAGGTGCCACAGGACCCTCTGTTGATTTTTGTCGCACACTCACTGAATGGCATTGGGGTGCAAGTGGTAGTGGGGACCCATGGATAAGACACTGGTCTGGAAATTAGGAGAGCCAGGGTCTGTTCTTGCCTCTGCTACTGAGCTTCTGTGTGAAATTAGGTAAGACCTCAGCATCCCTGTCTAAAATGTGGATAACGAATGATGCTCAACTTTGGGTTCACTTTGAGATGGATGGATGAACAGAGCACAGTACTGTATAAGACTGAAGTATTATTATTACTTTAACCCTCTTACACCTCATGTGTAAATTAATATACACCACTGCTTCTGTGACTGCTGAATTCAATGCCATAGCTCAATGCTATACTCCATTACAAAGATTCAAATACAGTCATTCCACTGACCTCAACAGAATGACTTTAAACCAGTCTGAAAGCAGAATTTGGCTCCCTGAATCTAATCAAAAGGCGTGTGCTGCATTAGAACACTTGTGTAGACCTTAAAGACCTCAGAAAGTGCTGGAGTTCCTGCCCCCCCCCCCCCAGTATTTGGTAGAAATCAGACCATAGATTTCAGTCTTCTTGTTATTAATACATTTATAAACCATAAAGGGGGTTACAAGATTGATGGATGAGCAGCATAAGGCTTGGAGACGGCAAAGCACCAGGTAACTACTAGGTGTTAGGAGTCTAGTCATTATGCAGCGAATCCAATATTTTAAGCCCTTTCTTTTCTATTTTCTTTCATTGACACTGACACGCACTGAGATAAGCGAGAGGGTCGCATGAAATGCTGAAGCCGCCCTGAAATCCCGAGAGGCAAAGCAGTGGGAGAGCTTTCTACCAGCCAGAGGATTGTGGGCACTGTGCGGATCGGCCAGCTCTCCGTACAGCAAGGGAGGCTCAGAAAGTCCTGGCGAAGGCACCGAGCCTTGCCTCTGAAGCCAGGGCTGTCTCCGGGGGCATCCCCCCTCACTCAGCCCCGGGCAGTGGCAGCTGGAGGCGGGGAGCTGCAGCACACGCAGCCCAGTGCGGGGGGAAGGTGCTGCCAGCCCAGAGGCGGCCTGAGAGCAGCTGATGGATTCGGACGAGCCAGGCAGGAACTAAAGACACCTCCCAAGGTAAAGAAACTTCGCTCCTTTGTCAGCGCGGCGCTTCCCCCTCCGCTGCGTCCCGGCCGCCAGCTGTGGCGCCGCCTTTGTCTCCAGCACAATCTCTCCTGGAGTCCGGGGCTCGGACGGGGGGGGACAAAAGAGCCCAAGGGCTCCATCAGCATCTCTGCCCCTCCGGCCGGAGAGCGCCCGGGGACCTGATCGCCCTTCCCGGGACGGCCCAGCCCCAGAGCTGCAGTTTGGGGGCGAGATCAGGCACGGTTAGGATAATAGCAGCTGCCGAGCCGAGCCGAGCCGGGCCAAGCAGCCCCGTGCTTGACTAGGCAGTTAGACGCCAGCTGTTTGCTGCAGGCAGTTCTGCCATCTATTGTTACAGCGGCGGGGGGGGGGGGGGGGAGTAAATATCTGCCCCACCCCCACCACAGCTGGAAACAACAGCCGGCTGGGGCAGCCAGGAAAAGCGATTGCCGACAGCTGCAAGCCACAAGGCGCAGCTCTCCCTTTGAAATGGCCGGGAACTGGCTGGAGTCGGCTGGGCCGGGGGCTTTTGCTGAGCCAGGGTGGTTTGTTTCCCGGGGAGATTCTCCCTTTGTGACATCGGGTTACTCCTCGCCCTTGGACTGTCTAGTGCTTGTACTCCAAGGAAGCCAGGCTAGCTGGGGGAGACTCATCTTCTGAGCGGAACCGGCCAGGAACGTGAACTCTTACAAATACTTTGCTTATCATGCTCCATGTGAGAGTCATTCAGGCTGGGAAGGCCACAAAAACGAACCTATCAATAGCAGGGGGAGAGAAGAGAAGGAAAAACCCCGCTAAATGCCCCCCCTCCCCCGACTGTTTGTGACATTCATTGCAAGTTCTTGGGGCAGAGAATGGGCTTGATTTTCCACTCATCCTGGTTTTATCCCATTAGGTTCAGCGGAGTTACTCCCTCATTTACACAGCGAATCAAGCACTGTATAATACCATAGAATAGCAGTTCTCAACTGGGGGGGGCATAGCCCCCCATTTCAGGGGTGCCACAAGCCCTGAGGCCCAGCACCCACAGGGTACTAGCCAGGAGCCCTGAGCCCCAGTGCCCAGAGGGGCAGAAGCCCTGAGCTGCTAATGCCAGGAGCCCAGAGCCCCGCAGGGCTAAAACCTGGAGCTCCGAGCCCCTCTGCCCTGCAGGGCTAAAGCTGAGAGCCCTGAGCAGTGGTGTCCCGTGGGGCACAAACCCCAAACTCTGGCACCTGGTGCTGCAGAAGCCCCAAGTCCCCCAGTCTAATGGGGCTAAAGAAGCTCTGGACCTCCAGCCCCATGGAGAAGAAGCCCTCAGGCTCTCCCCCTCCTAAGATTGAAGCTCAGAGACTGGAGCCCCCCCTGCACCTGGATCCAGGAACCCTGTCTCTATGCCTCCTCCAGCACTGGAATGTTTATAGCATGTTGCGGGGCCCTCAGAAAGAAAAACATTGAGAACCCCTGGGGTAGAACATCCAGAACAGTATGAGCACTAAACAAATCAACACTAGTAACATTTGCAAAGAGTAAAGAAAACTACATAGATTATAAAAGTGCCATCTCAGGTTAAAACATATACTTTTAAAAGGGAAATATCTCCCCTGGCCTGTGTGCCCAGTAAAAATAGTTTAACATTTAATTTGTTTTTGATGTTTTTTCCTGATTCCTTTTTAAAATTTCATTCATCTTGGAAAAGGAAAATAGACTAGACATTTTCATTTTTGTTTCTAGTCAATTTCACTTTCAGGTTCTCATGCACCAGCACAGTGCTGCAGTGTTTGGGTTGCAAACAAATTAATGAAAAATATTGCTATTGCTATTTTCAAAATGACAAAACCTAGAAGTTTGGCTTAATTACCTGACAGTGTCAGGTCATTACACGGGGGCTCAGGTTCCCAGCTTTAGTCCTGCAGGGTGGTGGGGCTTGGAGCTTCTGCCCCATCAGGTGCTGGGGCTCAGGACTCCCAACTTTAGCCCTGCAGGGTATGTGTGGGGGGGCTTGACCTTTCTGCCCCGTGGGGTACTGGGGCTCATGGTATCTGCACAATTTAAGATTCCATCCCTAAACCTCTCTCATGGGTACTCAGGATGTAATACACCCCTACCCATCCTCATAGGTACTCAGAGTGTAACTTTACCCGGGCTCTACCTCTCCGTGGGCTCTGGACTTTAGTCTCGTGGGGCCTGGGGCTCCAGACTCCCAGCTTTGGGGCTCCAGGCTCCCAGCAGGGCACTGGAGCTCAGGATTTCAGCCCCACAGGGGTCTGGGGCTCCGGGCTCCCACCGTTATCCCCGCATGGTGCCGGAGTTCAGGGCTTCTGCTCCATGGGGCGCTGGGGCTCCTAGCTTCTGCCCTGCAGGGCACTGGGGCTTGGAGCTCACGGCTCATGGACCTACTTCTGTGTCACTATGCAATACTTATGCCCGGGGTGGTGGGTTTTTGTTTTGTTTTGTTTTTTTGTAGTAAAGTGAGAACAGTGCAATTTCTCTCATCACAAGATTTATTACATTTTCTCACTGGTAATAGGTCTCAAGTCGCAGCCCTGCCAGGAGCTGGTGAGCCCAGTGGTAAATTGCCTTCTTATAAACAAGACTTTCAATTTGTGACCTGTTACAGCACTAAGGCAAAATTTATACAGGTCTGATTGCCAAATTATACAATCTCACATACACTGGTGTAAACCTGCAGTACTCCACTGAAGTCACTTGAGTCACAAAGTGTAAACTGGTGTAAGTGAAATCAGATTCAGTCCCTCGTACTGTAGTGGATATCATTCAGTGCCACTGTAACCCATGCCTGTTTGGTGTGGTGTTCTGTCCCCCTCTAGAGGCACTTAGACCCAGGGCCGCCCAGAGGGGGGGGGGCAAGTGGGGCAATTTGCCCCAGGCTCCTGGCCCCGGAGGGGCCCCCACGAGAATATAGTATTCTATAATATTGCAACTTTTTTTTATGGAAGGGGCCCCTGAAATTGCTTTGCCCCCAGGCCCCCTGAATCCTCTGGGCAGCCCTGCTTAGACCATCTAGAGATTCAGAGGGTAGCCATGTTAGTCTGTATCCACAAAAACAACGAGGAGTCCGGTGGCACCTAAAGACTAACAGATTTATTTGGGCATAAGCTTTTGTGAGTAAAAAAACCACTTCTTAAAATGCATGGAGTGAAAATTACATAAATATTTATGCCTGCATCTCCTCATTGTTTTTATCTAGAGATTGATGTGTCTGCTATAGCCTTGGCTAATAGGCAGGTAGTTTTTAGCTCATGAAATTCAGGCTGATGCATTTAGCTCCAAAGATCTCAGGTTCAATGCTGCCCCCTGACAACTGAGGTCTGTCAGCGATACCCCATCTCTCTGCCAGGCCAATTGGTAGTTATAGTGGTATCTGGACATTAGAAATAAAATGTACAAACAGTGTTGCAACACCAGAGCAGACCGCTGTTTGATCCATTCTGTTGTGATGCCTCCAGAAATAGGGAATACATGCTGTATTAGAAGAAGGTGGAAGTGCTCGCAGTAGAGATCAGGTGTTGTAATATAGATACTCTGACTACATGGGACTTGATTCACCTCCACAAAAGGAATTGGGGGGCAGGGGACCTTGGGCTTGTAAGCTTTTCAGAGCACGCATTTTCTTTTACTACATAGTGCCTAGCACAATGGAACCCTGATCTCAGTTAGGGTTTCTAGGCCCCACTATAATAAAAATAAATAATAGAGCCCGTATGTTGCAAAATTATTCCATTTTGCTCTGTGATCCTTCCTTCAATAAAGTCAGCAAACATACACCGCCAGATTTAAAAAAAAAAAACAGCATCACACTGGGAACTGCTGAGTGCTCATATGGAAGTCAAGCACTTTTAAAATTTGGTCCACGAGTGGGTACTTAAAATATGGCCCATAGAGTCTAATGCTAGTATGTACATTTGAGGACAGAAATATAATATAACAGACTCTGCTTTCCCAGAAATGGTTACATCTGACTGATGGGTCGTTTGATCCCTGCATATTGTTTAATTTACAAAATACACCGGGATCCTACAAAATGCATGATGTTATATTAATAAAGCTCATTCACTCAATCTTTACCACTAAGCTACTAGTTCAGGTCATGCTCCTGGAACAAGCCCACCAAATATTTTTCAAGTAACATTTTATTTCAAAGCATTATGGCCAAATCCATGTTTGCTAGGACTGCAGGGAAGGCTTTGGAAAATCACCAGGGATGAATTTGGCCTGACAAGTTCCAAGTGGACATTTTGTGTTAATGTTTTTTCCCCACTGAGCGCACCATATGACAGCATAGTTGCTATGACACTTCATTGTTCTTGAACAGCATGATACAGATTTCAGCAAATACTGTATAACTTTTAAACTCTCAGTTAAACATGGCAGCTGATATCTTTAACCTAGACTGTGAACTTGTCCACATTTTGGGTACATGATGGAGAAGTGCAATCAGTTCTGTACTGGACTGAATGCAGTTAATGAATCAGAAAAGTGTGCACATCTTCTGAAAAGGCAATCTGTAAACTGCAGTGTAAAGTGAATGTTGCACATATTTCTGAATGACTTAGGCCATTAATCAGTGTAATAATGTGCAAGACCAACTAGAGTCCGTGAGCCTCATTCTGATCTGACACCAATTTTAAACCACTGTAATTCCATTGGCTTCAATGGAGGTTCTTCTGATTTACACCACTATGAGAGCAGAATCAGGTTCAAAAATTGCCATAGATGAACGACAAGGTGCGTGCTGATGATCTCCTTATAAAAAGGACAAAGTCTACATTCCATGAAAGCACCAGAAGCCATTTCCTTAGCCAGTGGAATGTCAGGCCATACAACACATGACTGAGATGTCCTTGGACATACGCTACAAGCCCAGCTGTGCAATAATAAAAATACCAGTACAAGGAGAAAAAAATAACTTTGCCCATTTTAAATACACTAAATACGTTGCTTTTTATTTTATCAACTTTGAATGTAAGACTGCAAGGTGGCTTTGGGGA